ATAAAACAATGAATTATTAATTATTAACTTTAACACGTATTTTATTACAAGTGTTTAAATACTTCGAAAACTTTACAAGACTGAATAGTTACATATGTGTATGTACCCTTGCGAATTTTTTTTTTCGGGTGGAAGGAGGGTTGTGCGAATTCGTGCGAATCACGTGCTAAATATGTGTATAGTTTGTTTATAGATTTTCCCTTGGGGGGGGGGGCTGGCTTAACGTACTTAAAAAAACTGAATGTGGCTTTGTTCTACTATAAAAGTTTTAAGCCCGGCAGTTGTTAAGGATTTCGTTATAGATGACAACATTCGTACGGTCTGTATTTTCGAGGCAGTAAGACCCTGTACGGTTGGATATTTAACAGACCAAATAGCGAATGCGACAAATTTGCACTCAATATACGTTTCAGCATTAACAACTGAAGAGTAATAGGTCGATGAATTGATCAATTAAAGCGTAATTGTATTTGGCGCTGTTGTCCGAGATCGGTACATTTCACTCGTAGAAATTTAATAAAGTTAAGATCAAACTTAACCTAACCTAACCTAACCTTTAACTAATTATATAGGGCTATGCGTATATGCACATTAATTATATATTATACTATATTCTCCGATGTGTCCTGTACGTCATAATAATCGGCATGAGGAGCCACGATTTATCATCCAATTACACGTAGTCGTATTTATAGTATTCTACCGGTGCTCACGTTCATCTGTTAATCTATTTTCAGACGTCTCCTGGGCGGTCACAGTCGATGGGATTCGATTGTTCGATTCCGTTCGGTTCCCGCGGGCCCATTCATCACGACACCCGAAAATCGGCGATCAGTGTTTCCGGTACAGGCACATTGATCGGACATGACCAATGACATAAAAATAATGAAAATATAATAATTTTTATGTTATAAAGCACGGTGACCAACAGTTGCTATATCATATTATAACTATTTAAGGACAAATCGTGCACATCCTATATAACCGTGTCAAGTATCGACTGCAGGCAAACGTAATAGTCTACTTATTGTAATGGATTCGTGGCTGTCGGTGGACGTGACAACGGCCAATGTCCTGTCCAGAGACAATCGAGGATCCGTCCGAGGAGTCAAGACGGTAAAATCATAAATAATAAAACACACCTATATGCAGACCGGTGGAGTTTCGAGAGTTTTCTCTCCGTTTTTCGTGGTTTTATACAAAAAATAAAAATGCCAACAATTTATAATCGTCGCACACTCGGTGCGTTTTATGGGTTTTGATGAACGGGGGGGATCATTGGCGYGGGTACCCGGTTTGCGTGTATTTATAGTGTGTAGCACGAATAAAACGAGATTTTTCCTCTTAGAAAGCAGTGGCGGCTGCGTCGGCGGCTGCGGGTTCGATAGGTTTTTAAAAATAACTTAGCCCGCGTTCACCGCGCCATTACGTACGTATACGACGTAGGTACTATGCGACCGGCATTCGGCTTCTCGTCTATCCGATCCGTTTGCCATATTTCTTGTTGTTCGTAGATGTGCGTTATATTTCATAATACCAGGTATACAACAATATAATATCATAATATTATTTTTTGTTTTTAATTCACTAGCGTATATATTTTCTTCGACTYGACCGCAGACAATGGATATATCGTCAGACGTCAGTATTAAACATTTTATCAACTATAACAATAACGACAATGATATTATAACCATCGTATCCTATTATATACATATTATATAGGTATGGGGGCAGTTAGCATTAGAGGCTTCTCAGGTGTATATCGATGACGGTACAGGAGGACCCGCCAAGAGCCCTTACGCCGGAACGGTAAGGCGATGATAAGGTGTCTGCATCGCGCGGATCATATCATAATAGATAATTGTATATTATTAACTGTAATGTCTTTAGTGTTGTAAATAAATTAATAAAGGGAGAACATATTAAAATTTAAAAAAATAACATTGAATACGGTTGTACACACGTCGAAACTATTTTAATTTATCATAATATTAAGTAAAAAATCTGTCATAATGTACAAAATAAAAAAAAATAAATAAATAATGGTCCATTACAGTTACGTTTTTTAAAAACAAAAAATATAATAACAATTTTTCTATTTTATGGGGTACTAATTCTTAAAAGTGTGTACTGTGTACATTAAACATTATTATTTATATGTTGACAATTTAACATCATATTATGTCTATATGTTTGTACAATACTATATAGTTATCTATAATATCACCGATAGGGTGTTTATTCCTATTGCAAGAGATTTTATCATTAGGAAGAAACGTTGGTTTAAAACTGTTATTATTTACCTATAATCAGTACCTTACAGTATGATCTGAAAATGATTGTAAATACAATAATAATAATAATATGTTCCTTTGAATTCGCTCGTGTTGATGGTGAATGTCAATCTAACTGTAATGTGTCGTTTAAATAACAATATTATACTAATTTAGAAAGAGCCAATTATTGTCAAGTGTGTATATTAATTTTTGTCGGTCTGWCCAATARTATTTAATTTATATAATACGAGTATATAATAGACTTTATTGAAAATTAAACGCCGTGCTATTTTATTGTATTATATACATGATACCCAGCTTTATCCAGCTTTTAGTGAGGTCTACGCATTGGTTTTTTTGACGATGACGATTTTTACAAAAACATTTTAACGTTATTGTTAGTGTATGTCGTATGGTAGATAGCTGCAGCTCTGCAAGTGCCCTATATTAAAATAGAGTTATTAATCTACGAAATTGAAAAAATTCAACAAATACTACACTTTTTGTAAGAGAACAATTTCTTAAAAACTTCATGATTATTAGGTATTTATTATATTTATATGAATTCCAAATATATGTATTCTAATTCTAAGATAGCAAATCAGGAAACTAGGACTGCTTTGTAATAGATKTCGAGTGAACACCGTCATTGAGTAGGTCACCGACCACAATGTAATTGATGTGTTCAATTTGAGTTCAATTATAAATGAAACAAATAATAATGACTGAAAAACGACTCTGGTATGTCAGACTATATTATTATGTATAAATACAATGTATATATTATTATTATTATTATATGCTATTAGTAATTTATTTTAAATTTTTAATATTGGAACTTTCAATTAATTTTTTCCAAAAATCATTATATTTATTAAATTGCAAATTATTATAATTTATTATATATATTATTGTTAATAACTTTTGAGTCACTAAAGACTTGCCGTTAAACGGTGTGAATAACTTTGTGCCATAAAATAAATAATCAATAGCTTATTATTATTAATCTAAATATTTTGAAAACGTGATCATGTAGAAATATATTACATAATTTACAATATATATGTAAAAGTACCAAATCCCTAAAATGGTTTTCTTATTTACAAAAATTGATGATAATAATAATAATAATAATAATAACTTAATAACAAATGTTAGTATGCTTACTTATTTAAAAATATCCAATTTCATAAACATTTTATTTCTACAAAATTGAATTTATGAATAAAAAATTAATTTACACATTATAATAAATAACTTGGTATTAAACTGAAAAGMAAACATAAACAAAGAAGTAATATTGAATGTTCAGTTAAATATATTATATAAACTATAAGGATGTATAATTTTTTTAAATTTAATTTTCGAAGGTGAACAAGATTATTACTACCTATTGAATATAAACAGATGAGTTCTAAAATATATTCATAGAGTATACAGATTTTTCCCCTTTCTAAAATTATAAAAATTTATGGCCAATGACCATAATATATAATTATCATAGTAATTACGAATTATATGCAATCCATAGTATGATACAATTGTTTATTATTAAATTTTATGTTTTACCCATGTAAAAAGTAAAATCATACTGAAATAAAATTCAACTATAGTTGTATGGCCTCACGTAAACATTAATTTAAAAGCGTGATGTCTTGACAAGAATACAATGATCGTTATTTACAATTCTGCTGGTCGAAAGTTTAACAATTTTAGTATTATAGTCGTGCTTACGTGAATGTATGTGAGAATAATATAATGTGTTGCATCGTTGCCGAATRTTTAGTATAATTATTACCTATACTTGATTTATYTATTTTATTTAGACGATCGAAAAATTGCCGGATAAAGTTTTGCTGAACATATTTTCATACCTGAGCCACAAAGAAATATGTAGTATGTCAAGAGTGTGTAGAAAGTGGCGCACAATTGCATACAACACGTCTCTGTGGTACAGTGTATCTCTGAGACCAGAAATATCGGGACTCCACGTCACGTCTCTGGACTTTCTGTTGTCTCTAATCAGGTGACTAAATTGCTAAAAATAAATACATGTTCTATCTCTCTATTATAATACAGGTGTAACCGAAAGAATAATATAGTGACTATCCTATGTATGTAAAAACATATTTTGTACCTACTAATAACCAGTATTTTAAAACAAAATTTTTTTTWAAATTTTAATGAGAAAAAAATGTATTGCATATATTGAGCGTTAGTGGCATCCACATTTTCAGTTCTTTCCGTTATAACCTGAATATGTATATAGTGGTAGGTGTTCACGTACCTACAAATATTGTGCTTGCGATTTTCACCTAACCCTGCCGACATGTGTATAATAATTTTATTTAGTGTGCGATTCGGCTCTTCTTTGCGCTACATCGAGCTGCCAATCGAGCTTATAACGCACACAGTCTTGCACGAACTGGCCAATAGGTGTCCAAATCTCACACATATGCTACTCGACTTCTCGACCGCTATGCAGTTACACGATTTTAGCGAGCTCCAAGCGTTCCCCACCAAGTTGAAATATCTCTGCGTGTGCCTATCGGAAGTGATCTTCATGGAAGGGTTCATGAGAAAGATTTACAACTTCATCAACGGGCTGGAAATAATCCACCTGATAGGCAAGTCGGGTGTCACTGYTCGTACCGCAATATTATGTGTGCATTAATATTATTTATAAATTCACGGCCCGCAGGTACGTATGAAAAAGTCGAAGAGGAAGAGGAAGAGATCTACGAAGTGATAAACGTGCACAAGCTTAAATCGGCGACGCCTAACTTAAGAGTCATAAACTTATATGGGATTAACTTCATCGACGACAGTCACATTGACGCGTTCAGCTCCAATTGTATACAACTGGAGTGTCTGGCCGTGAACTATTGCTCCAAGGTCACGGGATCTACACTGAAAACGTTATTTCAGAGAAGCAAAAGGCTCAGGTGCCTTTTGATGAATCAAACGAGTAATTAAAATATTATATGCACTTGTACGGCATAATGACAAATAATTATAAATCGATTGACGAATGCAATTTAATTTACTAGATCTCATCAGCGAGTATTTAATGCAAGTAGAATGGGAAAAATCTTCGATTCAAGAATTAGACGTATCTGGGACCGATCTCTCTACCGAATGCCTAATCGATATGTTAGTTCGGATACCGAATTTGAAGTTTTTGAGCGCTGGCCAATTAAATGGATTCAATGACACTGTGTTAAGTACGTTCATGGAACAGGGTAACGTCAGGAACCTGATCGCGCTAAACTTAGACTATTCGGACAATTTGTCGGACGAGGGACTTTATAAATTTTTGTCCCGTTATGGACATCAACTACAGGGCCTTTCTTTGGCCGGCATGCCACATATTACCGATCAACTGTGGAACACGGTCCTACCAGTTCTCAACAATGTCATGTAAATATATTTATAAAGCAATATCATTCACTTATATTTACCTAAATGGTTGATCAAATGTCATAATAAAATAAAATGTAATACATTTTAATAAAATATCTTATAAACTATCAATATAATGATTAATAACTTATAAGTAATAATTCTTGATAAAAATATTTCAAAAATAAAGAAAATCACAAAAATACAAAAACTCGAAATACTAGAAATCAATAAGTTCGTAATGATTATCTTTTACAGAATTATGGTTATGGGAACTCAAGAGAGATTATCTGGTAACGTACTAGTAGATCAACTTATGGATGGTATAGCTACAAATTGCCCAAAATTAGAAAGACTCGAATTGAAATGGGATCCAGATAATTTAAGATTTTCGGATAAAAGCCAAAAAGCGATTGATATTTTTCGAGTAAAATGTTTGAAACTCAAATGCTTGGTTTTAAGGTAATACGTAGTAAAAATATAATATTATGCAATCAAAACAAATTATTTATTTTTTTCTAACACGAATGTACATTTTATGTATTCATGTTTGTTTTCTTTTTCAGTGATGGAAGGTATTACGAAATAGTGAAAGCAAACTTCGAACGAGCAGATAGACTAACGGTGGTTAGAACCACTACATGTTGTAGTGTCTCCAATTATTACCTACTACAAAATTACAGAGATTTAATATTTAATTAAATCCAGATCATTTATAATTTATAAAATTAATTAAATTATTAAAATGTAAATAATTATGTTTCCGACGATGTATAATATTATTATAGAAATAATCATATAAATATATAACATAGTCTGAGCACCTAAAACAATAATAAAATATACATTTTTCATAACGTATTGACCTTCGTAATTACGCAAGAGAAAGTGAGTACACACTTATTACTTTCACTTCCCCCCAAGAAACAAGTTTAGGAGAAAGTATATAGTTTAAAAGAAGAAAACGATTGGGTACATTCTGATCAAATTCAATTGAGTCGTGTGGGTCAGCATAACTAGACTACACCGTTGTTTGCTTACTTCATAAAAAAACAAAATTTAACGCTTATTTCACATAATATAATACACATTTTCAAAGATGTATATTAAATACGAAAATCTCGAGGATAAATTCGCTAAGAGGCTGGACGATTTGTTCGGTGTTAAAGACTGTCTGATCGAAGTAAACCCAGGCAAATGTATACTTCCGCCCAAGTACAAGGATTTGGGCCAGAGAATTAAAAACATGGAGGTCAGACCTGATGATGTATGGCTTGTGTCGTATCCAAGAACAGGTAATAATTTTAGTAATTTACTTCCGCGCGGGTTCTTAATGAGATATGAACAACGACACTGCGTTTTCAAACAATAGTGCGACATGACTAATACGTTAATATTGACTAAAACTTTTTTGTCTCTGTTAAATCTACTTTAGGAAGTACTTGGGCTCAAGAAATGGTTTGGTGTATTTGCAATGACTTGGATTTCGTTAAAGCCAAGAGCATAATTGGACAACTAAGGACACCGTTATTAGAGTAAGATACACCTTCAACAAATTCTATGTATTTACTACCTATTATATTTATATATTTCTAGCACACTATGCTTATAATACTTGTAATGAAAATAAATTTTTCTCTGACATATATTTAAATATACTTATCCAATGATAAATACTGGAATAATATCAATCATTTTTTTATTCATTCATTTATTAATGAATGTATCATATAAGATATATGCTACAGTTATCTACAGTACATAACAACGATTTAATTAAAACACTACCTATACTTATCAACTATGTCTATAAATATAGTTAAACATTGTTGTAGATTAATCATTAAAATAATAAAAATGTATAGTAAATATTAAGACTCGAGTTAAAATATTGAATTGAAATAAAATATATAACAAGTATATTTTAACAATTCAAATTAAATTATGAATTAAAAAAATTATAATGTTTTAATTCTTTTTGTAGAGATAAATAAATATGTAAATAGATAAACAGATAATTAAATATATTTATATTTATATTCCTACATAATCTGTTCAATCGAAAATAATGGATAAATGCAATCGACCAAGTAATAAAATATGCCTCTTTATTTTTACGTTAAAATGATTAATGACACAAAATCGAATAACGCAGTTGTTGGTCACATTCCTATGTAAGTTGCCGCAATCTGCTCTATCTGACTTTAAGAACGTAGTATAATCAAATATAGGTATACGCCATCTAGATCTGTCGTACTTATTACAAGTATGAAATAATTTATACTATCATATATTGATGGAATATATTGTTTAGACTAACAGCTATTATGGGCAATGACACTAGCAAATTAAAAGACGAACTTGGAAACTCAGTAGAACAAGTGGAGAACATGCCGTCGCCTAGATTCATAAAAACACATTTGCCAGTCCCATTGTTGCCCGAACAGTTGGAAAACGTGAAGCCGAAAATCATCTACGTGACACGCAACCCAAAGGACATGTGCGTATCTTATTATCACTATTGCAAACTAGTACACGGCTTACATGGGTCGTTCGAAGAGTTTTGTGATCTCTTCATACAAGGAAAGACACCGATCGGACCCATTTGGGATCACATACTAGGCTTCTGGGAACAAAAAGACAAATCCAACGTGTTGTTCATCAAGTACGAGGACATGAAAAAGGTGAGCAAGGGTCGTGGTTATGATAAAATAACTATACCTATTATGCTTAGGATATGTCTCAAGCGGGGCTATGTATTTACATAAACTATATGTTCGGAATGTAAATATGAGATATTTGATCTAATAAAAATGCGTGCTCGTCTCTAAAGACTTCTAGATTTAAAATTTAGAAATACTAATGTATAGTTTTTGGGAGGTTTTATTTTCAAGGGTTTACTATAAAGATTCGTTAAAAGATTGGTTTTATTGCAAAAAAATTTAATATTTTAATAATTTTAAATAAAATAGTCAACATCAATATTTTTATACAAATATTATAAATGTATAGTTTGACAAAAAAAATTATTAAATTTTTTAAATTTTTAACAAAAAATATGTTTTTAGATTTCTTAAATATAGTAAAATTTAATACGTAATCTTGCTTACTAGGAGTCTAGGACTGCTTATTAGGTTTGCATTTATAATGAGTAGTGCATGTTTAGTTGCATAGTATCACCTCTTTAGGTGCATATATCTTAGATTTATATTTTGAACATTTTATTTTTTTTATCCCCTAAAAAATATATTAAAATATTTTTGTCTTGGTTGAACAATATTATAGGACCTAAAACGAGCCATCAGACAAGTATCAGATTTTCTCGACAAAGATTTGACTGATGAACAGGTCTCCGCTCTCGAAGATCACTTGAGCTTCAACAGCATGAAAAAGAACCCTGCACTGAATTTAGAACCAATACTTGCTATGATGGAAAAACAACCATTAAACGAGACGAATCCTGACGAAACATTTATTAGGAAAGGAAAAGTTGGAGACTGGAAAAACTACATGTCAGAAGAGCTATCAGCTAAATTTGACAAATTCACAGAAGAAAATTTGAAGGGAACTGGCCTCGTTTTTGAAACGAATTGATATCATTGACACTATATTTATATATATATAAATAATATTTTTATATCACTCTTAGTTTATAAGTATCCATATAAAAATCTTCGTATAAACATGTGAAAAACGTTGTATGTACAAATTATATTATTAAATAACATTTTAAAGTTTTAATGAAAATTTTAAATTCTTCTTCACTATTTTTATAAATTGTATTATTCCAAAAACAAATTATCATCTCTCCATTTAGAATCTAAAATCCAATAGAATAAAGTTTTCCTGAATGTATACAGGGTGATTCTTTTAAGTGGGTACACTAATTATCTCGAAAAGTATTTACTTTTTTCAAAATATTTTTTACATGGTTTCAAGTTGTTAAAAAATCAACGTTTTTATTAAAAAATTATATTTTTAAATATTTTTTATCCTTATCATTTTTTAAGTTTTTTACTTTTTTGAATGACAACATTGAGTTTTAATTTCATATTCCAAAGCAGAATATTTTTCTAAGTATTTTGATTCATAAAAATCGAATTTAGGACGAGTAGTTTACGAGTTATATGTATTTAAAGTTTAGACAAGCGGAGTAGTGGACAAACATTTTGCGGGGTAACCCCGTACCACTCCGCTCTGCCAATCTAAACTTTAAATACTTATAACTTAAAAACTACTAGCCCTATAAATTTCGATTTTTATAAATCAAAATACTTAGAAAAATATTCTGCTTTAGAATATGAAATTAAAACTCTATGTTGTCATTCAAAAAAGTAAAAACTTAAAAAAATATAAGGAAAAAAAATATTTAAAAATATAATTTTTTAATGAAAACGTTGGTTTTTTAACAACTTGAAACCATGTATAAAAATATTTTGAAAAATGTAAATACTTTTCGAGATAATAATTAGTGTACCCACTTAAAAGAATCATCCTGTATATACTGACTTAAAGAAAATGAACTAAATAAATCGAAAATTTAAGTCACAGTCTTATCAACGTGCTAACTTTTTTTCATAGATTGGAATCAGTTCTAAATTATTAGAAAAGTCTTAACTAAATTATCTATGTTACATAAAATTAAATATCAAACAGATCAAAATATGCCACATTGATTTTACATAAAAAAAATATGCAGTTTAAAAGAGAAACATTTAATGACTTATACAGAATGTCCCACGAGGATTTACTTATTGTGATATCTCCCGAAATAATGGAGATATAAATATTTTGGTTTTGTAATAAGACTCACAAGGATAATAACTACACTTATTAAATATTTTAATTTATTTTAATGTTTTGAAAATAATTTTTTTGGAAATAATTAAATGAAAAAAAACATTTTTTAATTGTTCACCAAAACATTTAAATAAATTAAAAAATTGTAGTTTTTATCCCTGTGAGTCTTATAACAAAACCAGAATTTTGATATCTCCATTATTTCGTGAGATATCGCAATGGGTAAATCTTCACGAGACACCCTGTAATTTAGACGCCAAAACCTTAAACTAGAAATAATTTGCCATTATTTTAATATTTCCTGTCAACATTTTAAAGTAATTAAATGACCCGTTAATAATTATCACATAATATTAAAATTTGTAGTTAACCTATGAGTGTCTTTAATGAATAACTGGCTGCTTACTTCAAATATTTAGACTCATAGTTTTTAAATAATAAATTATTTTAAATGATGTATTCAAATATTGATGTATTTATTGTATTACCTACGGCCTTGTAGACATATTATATTACGTAAAAAGATTTTATACTAGGAATACATTTTTAATAAAATACAGTGGCGTACTCAAGGGGAGGGGGGGGGTTGAACCTCCCCCATGACCTCACTAACCTATGTAGTCTTGTGCGTTCGTGCTTATATATAATATAACTCACAGGAGCAATTTTCTGAAAAAAAATTTTTTAAGGGAAAAAGTAAACAAAATATATCTATTTTAAATTGTATGTCAACATGGAATATACAACGATTGCATGCATTATCTGTTAAAAACTGTAATATTAGATAAGTAAGTAAGATAAGTAAGATTAGATCTCTATCAAACATCAATGTTGATAATCTATCAAAATTTTTAAAAAGAAGGTGACAAAGTCCCAGTGATAAAAACAAAATGTTCAAACCCTCCCCAACAATTGAAAACTCCTGACTCCTGAGTACGCCTCTGATAAAATATGATAATATACTATATAATCAATTGAAGTTTATAAAAAATATAGGTATTTATCTAATAATTATAAACAACTACATACTGTCATATTAATATTTGGTTCTTATTTTAAATAATTCTAAATCAAAAATTTAGCTATTCGACGAATTACCGCACGTAAATCCTATTCAAACAAATTAAAAATGTTGTTAAAATAATATCATAATAGGAACTAGTAAGTAGTATCTAACAATAGTGTARCAACAGCATGCAGTAGTATACTATCTGTTATATTATATTATGTTAAGGTGAATGTTGACACTCACTGCTGTTTTTGGTGAATGTCAACATTTTGAATGAATATTAAAAGTTTACCCACAGTCACCGGTAATTCACAATATTGAGTTTTGATGAATGTTAGAAATTTTTAGTTAAAATTGGAGTATAGACGTTCAACGATTGGTGTGTGGTGTATAATGTCATACGTAATGATTGTGAATGTTTAAAGATATGATATTGTTCACACAATAGCTGAAGGGAAAATTATGTTTGAGTAGAAACGCGCGTATAGTAATTTAATCAACGGTGTTTAATGATCTATATAATATTATCAGAGATGCATTTAACATTACGGTATCTGTCTGTTTGCCTGTATCCACTACCTATCTCTCTCTCTCACACGAAGCTTTTAGGTACTTAATCGGGTAATTCATTCAGGACATCCAATATAATAACATTGAGATGGTGGAACATAATGTTGAGCAAAGTGAATTAGATCGCATGAATTTAAAAAAAAAAAAAACGTGATTCAAAATAGAGCGGCAGCAAGAATGGGACTTGAATTACAAACTGAAAGAATAATACGTTCATCAAGACAAAAGTTCACTCCACCCAAACCTGGTGATACTGTTTGTATTCGAGTCCCTGATGTTGACCGAAGGCGTATGGATTGTAGTGATCGTCGTGCAGGACACGTTGAGCACAATACAATTAATTATTTAAACGACGTAGCACGTCTTGGTCAGTCTGGAAATGCTGTGGTTGAGAAAGATAGGTAAGAAATAATGTCGGGTTTAYTACAGGATCCACAGAACATATTAGCAGTTGTCGTAGCAGTCGATAATGAATTTTACTCACTGGGCACAAAGGAGGGTGTAATAAATCAATTATACACTCGTAATCAATTTTCAGTCTTGGCCTAGCTATCTCTCCAGACACCGCGAAATGCCCAAAGAGCGCGGATGCCGCCCGTGACCGAAATTCGAACCGGCGACTGCGTGCGTCGCAACCGACGCCTTAGGCCGCTCAGCTATTCCACCCCCGCAAAACTTAAATTTATTACATCGAAATGTTAATATATAACATTGTGTATATATATATGAATGTAAAATATTATTATGTGTATTTAGAATTTGTCTAACTGATAATAATTAGCCTAAACATAATTTATTATAATTTATAATATAAGACTTAAGCAACATTTTTCCCTTATTGTTATTTTTCAACTGTACCCAAAAGTTCAATTTTTGAAGGTTCAATATTATTAGGTACTCAAATATTATATTAATTATATTTTTTTTWAATCTTTTGWATGTAATACATTTACTTATTAATTCTAATATTATTTCTTTTTAATTTTAATAAGTTGTCTTTTATTTCTTCTCGTAATAAATAATATTAGCAGGTGCAATTTTGTKTATGGATTCTTGTTTATTTAAATTATAACTGTCAATTAACTCATTCACATTCAAGACTGCTTTCTTGATTGAATTACAACTTTTCTTTATTGCTGTATTACTATAGTATCTATTTCTTATTGATGTTGTAATAAAATAAAATAAAATTAACACTTATTATTATTAACTTATCGTGTCGTCGTAAATTAAAAAGTAAATATATGACAAAATAGTGAATTAAAAATGTTTAAAATGTGACCAAAAAAAATTATACGGAAATTTTGTTATTAGAATTTAACCATGTTAACAGGTTAATATTAAAATTAGCAAAGCGTCGGATATTATCGATAACAAATATTAGCAAATAAAAAATTAGCAAATCAAAATAATATGTAATTGCCTGTTTCATTTCTTCGTATTTYAAAAAGAGTTATCGAAAATCGTCTCTTCGATCCTATAGTAGCCAAGAATGTGATCAAAAAATCGGCTAAAGCAGACTTAATTGCATAAGTTGTTAGTGTACGTTGTTTTACATTTTACTTTTTTGTTTTTTATAAATGGTGAATTTGCTCACGGAAATCGAAAGTATACAATTTACAAAAATCTTCAAAATTTCCTGTATATCCCTCTAACGAACAACAATGGTGAAAATATGAAAGACAAGACAAGTATCTTTTGGATTTCTGGCCACGTAAATGATCTGAAAGTTCACACATAATATTGTTTGATTATTATTTATGATAATGAAATGGTTAAATAATTATACAAATATAATGATTATAATGTGTTCCATATAAGTTATACATTAGAGTATGATAATTTTTAAACGGTTAGTAAAACTAAGTTGATTATAATTTCCAAATTAAATATTAAATACACTTTTGTGGAGACATTCAGGCCGACAATATTTACCAGCTAAACTGACGTGTACAAWACTATTGTATCAATAAAGTACTCACAATATAATTTTATGGTACGATCGTTAAGAGCGTACCTACCTACTATTTAAAAATCTGAAATGTACAATAAGGACGGAGAATTTAGCGTGACATAAACATATTATCATAACCCTTTTTATTAAAGACTATAGCAACAATTTTAATGTAACTCCATTATTAACTCCAAAATTAACTAGTTTCTTCCTTAGTAAATCGGTGAAATAGGTGGGTACGCCAAATGCGATGTGTGAATATAAAAATGTCTTACTAGTGGTTGAGGTTAGTTCTCATTACACCACTCATTTCTTTTTCAATTATATACGTATAACAATAGATATTACTGTACTAAATTGTATACAGATTGTTTGTTAT